AAAAAATAAAATTACCTAAAAGCGAGAGAAAGTGCGAGAATTTCTGTCCAGCTAGACTGTAATAAACGCATCTGATCGTTTATCAACAGATCACCGAAGCCAGGTATCTGTTTTGCCCAGCCAATTGTTGCAACGAGTTCTTTATCAACGAGATCACTAAGAATACTCAAATTTTTGTACTGAGAAGATGATACGACCAAACTAGAGGCTGAGCCAGGACTTGATATTCCCGTTATACTTCCACCACCTCCACGACCACTTTCGATTATCATTGGCTCAGGTTCACAATTAATTAGAGCGGCAACGATACGATTTTCTTTTTGAATATAAAAGAATAAAAATTAATAATTTATGACAATAATAAGAAACGTTATGTTTTTTTAATTCCTAAAAAACTTACCTTCTAAAGTAGATTTTTTAGAGGCAAAATTCGTTGCTTGATAAGGAGCTTCAGCTGTCCTTGCACGATATTTTTGACGTCCGCCGCGAACACGATCTAGGCGAACGCCTTCTTTGAGCATTCCCATTCGAAGACATTTCTGAAAACGACAAGCTTGACATGCCTTCCTCCTGCGCTTGTTTATTTCGCAATTATTGGTTGCCGGACAGGTGTACTCTATGTTTCCTGCAAAAATTTTAAAATAATACAAACGATTAAAATTTTTATTCATTCGAACAGAGCGCCATCTCAATTTGAAATAGAAAACTATAAAAAAATTTGCGCCAAAAAAGAAAGTTTATAAATGTACCTTGAATGGTTCTTTTAAAGAATGCCTTACATGCTTCGCATGAAGCCACTCCATAGTGAAAACCGGAAGCAGTATCGCCACAAACCAGACATAATCGTTTAGGTGATGTGTCTCTGCTTTTAGAATCGATTAAACATGGGGTTGTTGAATCTCCCGAAACCGTACTCGAACAGAACATTTCCTGTGGCTGAGATTCGCCACCAAAACTCAATGGGGAAGGAGAGGGCGAATGCTCAAGACTTCCTGGTGTGCTTAGAAGATCCTAAAAAAAAAACAAAATAAAATTGAGCATTGATTTTCGATAATAAAAGTTGGGTAGTGTAAAATATATAAAACTCACCAGGCTGCTACTATTGCTGAATGTTTGTGCTAACTTGGCAAATTCAATCTTTTTAAATGTTGCCGCAGCAGCAGCGGCGGCAGCAGCAGTTTTAACATTATTATTATTTGCAATTGTTATTCTATCTCTATTCTGTTGTTGATGCAATGACATGGCAGTCAATGTGAGTGATTGTTTTGAGGTATTCAAACTATTACCGCCTGAAAGTAAATGTACAGTATTGGCGGAGACAGCAATCTTTTCTTCTGTGCCACAATTTGATGCTAATTTCAATCCAGATATTGTTAGTGGTGGCGTCGATAAT